TTATGGTGTTGGAGGAGAATATTGAAAGTACCATGGGCTGCCAAAAGAACCAACAGATCTGTGTTGGAAGAAGTGCAGCCAGAGCACTTCTTGGAGACCAGGATGACCAAACTTCGTCTCTCATACTTCAGACATATTGTCAGGAGGGACCAGTCGCTGGAGAAGGATATCATGTTTGGTAAGGTGGAGGGTCAGAGAAAAAGCAGAAGACCCCCAACGAGATGAATTGGCCAAGTGGCAGCATCGATGGACTCAAGCGTGGCAACAGCAGTGAGGTTGGCCCAGGACCAGGCAGTGTTTCATTCTGCTGTGCATAAGGTTGCTATGAGTCAGTACCGACTCGATGACACCTAACAACAACAACAAACATCTTTCTGGTTTCCGTGTGACTCCAGTAATGATATATCCCTTGTTCCATGTTCTCTTTTGAATCTGACTTGAATATCTGGCAGCTTCTTGTCCATATACTGCTGCGAAGTTTTTGAATTATCTTTGCATGTGGTATTAATGATATTGTTTGAGGATTTCTGCATTCTGTTGGATCAGCTTTCTTTGAGTTGACCAGGTAGCTGTCTTCCAATTTCTTGGCATAGATGAGTGAATGCCCCCAGTGTTACATCAGTTTGTTGAAAGATTTCAATTCTCATTCCGTCCGTTCCTGGAGCCTTGTTTTCTGACAGTGTCCTCAGTGCAGCTTGGATTTCTTCCTTCGGGACCATCAGTTCTTGATCACATGCTACCTTCTGAAATGGTTGACCATCAGCCAACTTTTTTTTTTTTTTTGCTACAGTGACTGTGTATATTCTTTCCCTGTTCTTTAGATGCTTCTTGCAACATTCAGTATCGTATGCGTAGACTCCTTTAATATTGCAGCTCGAGGCTTGAAGGTTTGCTTCAGTCCTTTCAGCTTGAGAAATGCTGAGTGTGTTCTTCCCTTTTGATTTTCTAACTCCAGGTCTTTGCACATTTCGTTATAATACTTTGTCTTCTCAAGCTGTTCCCTGTAATAATACATTCAGTTCAGCTCTTGTACTTCCTAATTTCTTCCATTCTCTTTAGCTTCTCCACATTCAAGGGCAAGTTTCAGCGTCTCTTCTGACATTCACTTTGCTCTTTTCTTTCTTTCCTCTCCTTTGAATGAGTTTTTGTTTTCTTTATTTATGGTTATACCATCGTTTTGGTCTTCAGTCATTAGTGTTTAATGAATCAAATCTGGTTTTGAGATGGTCTGTAAATTTTGGCAGGATATACTAAAGGTCATATTTTGACTCTTGTGGGTGTGTTTTCATTTTCTTCACCTTTAACTTGAACTTGCATATGATCAGTTGATAATCTTTACTTTAGGGACCACAAATTCAGTATTTTTTAAAAAAAGTTCATTGTAGCAACTTGGCATGATGAGTTCTGTCTGGGTACCACTTCACTCCTACCTTCAGATGCCTGGATCCAGGTCTTATCTAAAACCACTGTTTTCAAAATGTGGAATTAACTGCTAAGATTTAAAAAGGGAGAATTCACTCAGAAGTGGAGCTGGCCAGTATGGGAGCCTTGGCCATCCAGGGTTGGTGCCCACTAACAAGATATGGCTGCATAGGATCTTTACTATGTTTCTAAGTTCCCAGATACTGCAACTTCCAGGCTGCTGAGAACATTTACTGGGGTGTATGAGTAGGGTCCACAGGCACATGGGGGCTGCCCCACGTGCTCCCCAAGTAGGATGACTGGAGAAAAGAGGAAAGGGGCTTCCTGGAGGGGATGAGGGAGAGGACTGCTTGAACAAGAAAGGGGTCTCCACCAGAGGAACTAGATGGTACCAACTGCTCTGAAAGGCATTACATTCTAAGGTCCTGGATACAGTGGGGAAAATACTTGGTACCAAATTCAAAATTATAAAAGAGAACATACTTATTGTCCTGGTGTGGTGCTGTGGGTTAATGCACTGGACTGCAAAGTTGGCTTGAACCACAAGATCGGCGGTTCAAGCTCACCAGTTGTTCCTCAGAAACCCTATACAGGGTTGCTATGGGTTGGAACCGACTCAAGGATGCTTAACAACAACTGTTTAGAAGAGCCCGGTGGAATCCCAAGACTATGACCCTGGGTAACCCTTCAGATACGGAACTGAACTCACCCTCTTCGCTCAATTTTCAGCCAAGCAAGAAATAGGTTTATAGGAGAAACAACACTAGCGAGATAATGCAAATCATACAATGGTCAGCCATTGTTGATTTAAAGGGTAGCATTTACCCAAAGACAAAGTTCAGAAGGGTTGGGAAAGAAATACGCGTGGGAACAAGAATCTCAGGGAGGAAGTGGGATCAGCGATGTTCCATGGAGGGGGTTGCAGTCATTGAAATGAATCCGAGTGTGTGATTTGTTGACTATGAAACAGACGATCTGCTCTGTAAACTTTCAGGCAACTGGGCATCTGCAATTCCAGCGTCTGTCGTTAGGTGGTGTATGTGGGCCACTGGCCGGTAGGCAGGAGAAGGAACGGGTTTCGGGAGAGCTGGGGGAGTTGTAAACACAGCAACAAAGCAATTATAGGGAATCAGGGGGTGCCGCCGGTAGCATGGTGGGTACTAATCGGGCTGCTAACCTCAGGGTCGGCAGTTCGGAACTACCAACTGTTCCGCGGGAGAAAGATGAGGCTTTCTGCTCCCGTAAAGAGTTACAGCTTTGGAAACCCTGTACAGGGTCTCTATGAGTCGGAACCGAACCGATTCCATTGCACATGACGACCACCACCACTAAGGGGGTGCCACGGGAGCCTCTGGGTTTAGGGGTCAGGAGAGGGACTTGTCAGAGGAGGTCTGCTTGGGCTGGGAGCTGAGTAAAGTTTGTCAGGCCGTGGGAACAGCAAATGTAAAGGCCTTGCGGGGTGGGAGGCATCCTATGGGCCCAGGAGGAACCAGATTTGATCCTGGGCAAAAGAGGAATAGGGAGCCAAAGGAAGATTTTCAGCTGAGGAGAGTGGGAGAGGCA